TATATATATATATATCACCCTCTAACATGTTTATCTTTTTCTGACAAACAGGACATGATGCTTTACCCCGGCATGTACCAGGCTGCAAATCCTCAGGAGCAAATACACAAACAAAATTTTGCTCCATTTAATGCCTTGTTGCCTCGATTTAGGACATACTCAAAGGGCAATTATTATCCTGGGTATGTCTCCTCTCTTCTGGAGCATTTCATCAAACAGCAATAGAAAAGGATGTATAAAGGAGGGGTTCCATCCAAACCATGCCAGCTGAATAAGAAACCACCCACCCGTCTTTAAAGAGCCAACCTCTGACCTTCCAGATCTCTGGCATTATAGAATTCTAAATCATAGTGTTTCACTCAATCAATAGCTATAAATGTGCCAGGACTTCCAAGGGGTCCAGAGATTTTGTGTTAAACCCCTCACACAAGGCTCCTCATTCCTTGGAACTTACTCTCTCAAATCCGGACAGATGAGAAGCAACTACACTCAAAAAAACCCAATGGTAATAAGGACGGTTACCATATAATTTAGCAGTCAGACAGTGACACTTCTGAGAGTGAGCTTACTAATTATGGCAAGAGAGTAGCCATGAGCTAGGTTTGCCACAGGCACACCAGGCAGTGTGGTGACCCGGTGATGTGCTGTGAAGACAGTGAACAGGGTGGTGGTAATGGATGGATGGCACTACTTTGGCAAGGATGTCCAGAAAGGTCTTTAGGGGCAATGACACTTGACCTGAAGTCTGAATGACAAGACTGAGCCAGCCCTGTGAAGATCTGGGCCAGGGCTTTCCAGGCAGGAGGAGCTGCAAGTGCAAACGCTGTAAGCTGGGGAGGGACTGGTGGGAGGAATAAGGAGGAGGCTGGTGTGGCTAGAGTGTAGAGAACAAAGAGGAACTGAAAACAGAGCAGGAGTGCTGGAGCTGAGCCCGTGGCCCGTGTAGACCGAGTGCTTCAGGAAGCCATTCGGCAAGTGGAACTGCGGGGCAAAGGGTCAAGGTCTTTGTTTTGCTCATGAGAAATCCAAGGATCAGTGAGTGAGTGTAACTTTCTCAAGGTTGCATTAAGGAAGTGGAAGTGTTGACTCTTGGCCCCCGTGTCCATTCTAAGTACTATTTCCAACACAGCAAAGAGTCTACACGAAAGACCAAGTGTTATGAACAAAGGCAATTATAATGCCACATCAATCAAACTTTAACTGCTTCTGCCTCCTTGTCCTGAGATTGCTGATTGAATTATCATTACACTTCTAGCCCCAGTTTCCCATCACAGGCAGTACTTATTCATGACTGTGGTAGGCCCTTTTCTCACCCACCACTCCTGGGATCTTTTGGTCCCTCAGCCAATGATACTGAGTTGCAGAAATATTTTTCAATCTAGAGTTCATTTTAACCCTAACTGGGATGTCAAGACTAGATCTCTCTCTTTTTTTAAAAGATTTTATTTATTTGAGAGAGAGAAAGAGCACAAGCAGGGGGAGTGGCAGAGGGAGAAGGAGAAGCAGGCTCCCCACTAAGCAGGGAGCCCAACGTGGAGCTCAGTCCCAGGACCCCAGGGCCATGACTTGAGCCGAAGGCAGATGCTTAACCGACTGAGCTACCCAGGCGCCCCAAGACTAGATATCTTTAACACTCACAGCTAATCAGAAATACATTAACAGGCAAGGGAACCCCACACTTGCCCCACATTAAAAAGCTAATTGGGCTGTTGCTTTTTCTCAAGGAATTAGGCCAAGTTCAGGGATAGTTGTGGTACTGATGGAGTTCCTATATGGTCCCTAAGTCATTACACATGATGCTTTGTATTTTTATTTCTAGCCCTGGCACATACAACCTGGAGGTGAAACCACCCCCCAAAATCACCTGGCCAATGAAATTTGGATCTCCAGACTGGGCTCAGGTTCCATGTCTACAGAAAAGAACCCTAAAAGCTGAGGTAAAAAGACTGGACTTCTGTACAGCCTCTCTCTTGTACGTTCATATGTATCAAGGGTTCTTTTCCAGGAGTGTCTGAATGAGCTTCAGGAAGTCCTTGTTCCCCTGACAGCATATGTATGTGCAGTTTTGTGCAGATATGCATATGAGAATCTTTTTGGAGAGTTGCACAGTTTTGTTAGATTTTTAAAGGTGGGTATGACTGACAAAAGTCACATTTTCTTACTTAATCCTCAAATAATCTTCTGGTGCAGGAACAGGACAATTATACCTCGGTGATAGAGGAGGAAAATCAGGCTCTGATGGATTAAGTGACTTGTGCAAGTTGACAACTTGAATCTAGATCTTGTGACTCCTAAGCCAGTACTCTTTCCATACACCACTAGAGTATTAGATCAGCAGGGGGCTGTAGAGCATTCTGGTGAGAAAATGGATTCAGGAGACAGACTGCCTGGGTTCAAATACTAGCTACCATATTGCTGGCTGTGTGATCTCAGGCGATTTTTCTAAGCCTCAATTTTCATTCTTTAAAATGGATATAATAGAATCAAGCTGATAAGGTTTTAAAGATCAAGCAAATATAGAAAAGCATTTAACATAGTACGTGTAACATAATAAATGCCCACCCATGCGAGCTATCATAATTCCAGAGGTGTGGTTTTTAAGAGGAACCTTGGATTAATTCCACAACTATTTATTAAATGCCTAATGTATCAACATCATCCTGCTAGACCTATGAGTAACAGTCAGGAATCAAACACATAATCTTTGTTGTTGAGAAGTTTACCAGTTATACTTGGAGATTTACCAAGTCCTAGCATGACAGCACAGTAAGATGACAGAGACTAGCTCTATGTTGACAGAATCCTAAGACTAGGCTCGTATGGGGTGGGCTTCAGGTGGGCCACAACAGCGGTGATGTGCACTTCTATTTTGCACAGCCAGGAGGACAGGAGGTAGAGGGTTCTCATTAGAATATTGACCTAAATAGTATTCCTTCATTGCAGTTGTCCACCGACAAGGACTTCAGAAAGCACCGGAACCGTGTGGCCTACCTAAGCCTGTTTTACAGTTGAGGAGCTGTGACTACCTTCACATGCTCCTCCTGACCATGGATCCAGGACTGAGGACAGAGCTGCTCTTCCCCCCTGCACTGCCCTGCTCTCTTGTCTGCCAGCATGGGGCCCAGGGAGGGAAGGGGCTCATAACTACTATGTGAGAACAGAAAGACTACATCAGACTATTCTGTGTCCACATGCTGGTTTGTCATATACATACATAGATGGGTCTGGGGTTCCTGCCCAGTGTTCAGTGGGGTGGCTCCATTTTACTGAAATAGTCATGGGTCTCTGTCCTCATGCTCTAATCCCCAGGTTCCAGTTTTATGTATTCTACCACTAGCCCTGAAAAGGGGGCTGTTGGCCTCTCCATATCAAGGATTGGATGACTACCTTGGGCTTATTCATGGGCTTACTACACATGGAGGGTACTTACAGGCAGAGTAAAACATTTATATCTTAGAAACTCTTCCAGATTTCTGAGTTTCTGACATGCAGGAGCAGGGTCAGGAATTTGTTCCTTTTCCCAGACTGATATTAAACTTACTGGATCAGAAATTCCCCATTTCCCATTACTTCATCTATGTCATTTGTAGGTCATCATATCAATTGAGTTCCTACCATGTGTCAGGAAGAGTGGCAAGGACTGGGAATATAGAAAGAATCAAAATAACCTTATCTCCTGGTCTGGAAGCTACAGAAGCAGTGCCCTGCTGTAGACGTATCCGAATACCTGACTTCCTGGAACACACCCTCTAGGCCTTGGAAATGCTTTACTTTCTGGCACTTTCTAGGAACCCACAGAGAAACTCACTTTTACATTCTGGTATCTGAGCATGTGAAAAGAGGCAGAGAGCACAGCAGCCTGAAAAAGCAGAGGCCTGGTGGAAGTATATAAAAAGACAAGAGAGAAATGGCATGGAAAAATCCAAACTGAGCCTTGGCCTGTTGAAGCTGGGGGCTGGATCCCTGCTCCCTGCTCCTTGCTGGAGAGACGAAAGGTCTGGGGTCTGTGTGACTTACTAGCTCAAAGCAGTACCACCCCATCTCGGCTGCAGTCTAGCACAAAGGTCTGGGGCCCCGGGCTCTCTACATAAGGTCTGAGCCTAGAAGGGCCTCATTATCTCTGTGAAAGTGGAACAGCTGCAGAAGGCAGAGTACCAGAAATCTAGCCTAAAGCCTGCTTCCAGGTCTACATTTATCCGTTCCTGAGCCCCGCCCCCCACCAACCGCCCAGCCTATTTTCCTGTCAGAGCCTCTACCTGGTGTGGCCAAGTTCAGAGAACTCATTACACATCAAATCTTCTCAACAAGGTAATATTCTGCACATGTGTTTGATGGTGAATGGCACATGGAAGCAGGCCTTAATGAAAACCTCTACCATGACGGTGCAAAGAGGAGATTTTGAGATTTCTGGTGACATTTGCATAGTAAGAGCTGGGTCAAAATGGAACTAAGAAAGGGGGAAGCCAAGAGTTCACTACTATTGGTTGGCTCTAAGTTCTGGATTTAGTTGTCAGATACAAAGGGGTCTTCCATTTCTGTTTAGCTCTTCCGGCCACAATGGTGAGCCTAGGAAAATGGCCAGAGTTCTAGAGCAGAAGCTCTACCAGGAACAAAGGATATGCCTCTATCTGAAGTTGAGTCTCTATGGAAGCTAGACCCTGGGCGACCCCAGGTAAGGACTAGGGAACAGCAGAGGAGCCCTGCCAGCAGAGCCCTCTTCCTCAAATATCTGATCATAGGTCTCTCCTCCACTGAAACCCATATGGGTCCGTTTGACAGCAGAATCAAGTCCAGAGATTTAACAAGGCCCTGCCCCTCTGACCGCAACCCACCTTGGCTGCCTCATTTCCTACTATCCTCTCCAGTACCTTGTGTCCAGCCAGTCGGGATTTCCTGATGCTCTACAATTACACAAACTGTCTCCGCCTCTGTGCTGTCCTTATGCCAGTTTCTGCATGAGATCCCTTTTCTAACTTTCTCTACCCAGTGAGTTCCTACACATACTTGAAGGCGAAATCTAACATGGTTTCCTTTGTGATACTTCCTCTTTCCTGCCACTCTCAGGCACCATTCGCTGTAACAGTCTTTATGTCACTTGTATTATGAATGTGGTTGTATAGCAGGCATTGCTAAGCACTTGTTATCACAAAACATGTCAGATCTGGGGACTTAAAGAGAAAAATGAGCGGTCTCTTTTCTCTTGATCATAACTGAGTTGTGGAGGCGGACGTGCAATGGGTACAATACAGTGCAATGTGTAGTGAACTGTCAGAGGTACAAAGTGCTATGGGGGGAGGGAAGGAGGAGCAATAACCTCTCATGGAGGGGTAGGCGAAGGACACGCAGGAAGATGTCAGGGATCAGGGAAGATTTTACTTGCACAAAGAGATTTCAATAAATACCTTATGAATAAATTAATGATATTTCATCAGTGGTGATGGCATAAGCAGTAAATGGAAAGAAAACTCTAGAATGTGTTTTACAAGTATAACCCAAATATAGACTGGGGTCCATGTGGCCACTTTCTTCATGAATTCACATTTCAAAAGTGCATTACAGCAGCTAAAAACAATTAAAGAGGAATTCCAATTTTTGTATCTCTTACAGAACATTAAAAAGTCTCTAATTTGAAGCAAAGGCAACATTTCTCAAAATCTTCATCCTATGTTCCCTTTCATCAATCCTATGTTACTGTGGAGCATCTCCCCCAAGAAATTTCCAATTCCAAGTCTTTATTTTCACCTCTCCCATCCATAATTTCTATCCTTTCTCTCTTCCCTATTACCTTCCAGCTTTTTAAAAATCTCATTTACTCCTCATTCCTTTTACCTTTTTTGACCCACTAGCACCTCTCTTCCTCTCTTCATCTCTCTCTCTTTTTCTGTCCCAGGCCCTCAGTCTCTGTCACATAAGATACAAGAATCAGACAGACAAGATCTTTATTAGTGTGGTGGGGACAGAGTGGCATATTGGAAGGTAGGGAACACTCCCATATTAGTAAATTTTGTCCCTGTCCTACCATGATAGACAAGGTGGAACAGACCATAAGCTGTGGACAGCTTCTGTTGGGTGCTACTTTCTAGAATCCAGGAGCAGACAGAATTGCTAGCTCTGGCTTTACGAATACCATATGTTGTTCCAGTGTCTGCGGTTTGTCCCTGCTGATGAATTTCAGGTTACTCATGATAACTTGTATTTGTTGTATTTCAATGCTGAGAACTTTCTAGCAATTATATCTCCATCTCAAGATCTTTGCTCTATATAGTTGAGGCCATCCACCAGAGCATGAATAGAGGTGATACTGAGGCAGGAACAGTGGCTGATGGAGCAGGGATGAGGATGCAGGTGAATTGGGGCTGAACTGAGCTCCCTTCCCTTTGACAAAAGAAGGCTGTATCTCCCATAAGAGAAGCACAACAGAAAGAAAAAGGAATTGTCAGAGTGCAGACATTACCCAATTCCATAAGATTAGCTCCATCGTGTGTTGGTGAAGGAGAATGATGCAATGATGTAGAAAAATGTACACCTCCATCTACCACTACCACCCACAAACATCTAGATTGAGAATTCTTTGCATCTTTCTTTCCAGGTAAATCCTTCTAATTACATTTCTTGAAAGAACTTTGGGTCCCAGAGCAATACCAGTTTTTACCTCCCTAAAGGCAGCATTACTGCATTAGAAGAACCCACTGCAGATGATTGTTCATAACCTACTGTGGAATGCAAGTTCAGCTACTGGGCTTACTTCAGACAGGAAACCTGCTCAAGAGCAATATGCTGTACTTGATAGAAAATTCCTAGTGAGCCAATGCCATGTCTCATTTATAATCTCATGCCTCCATGGCTTGCACATAGCAGACTTTATCATATAGCAACACAATAAAAATATTTAATACATTGATCTGGATCTGATTTTAACACTAACTGTATGCTAACCTGTCCACACCCCACTTTCTTCCACTGTAAAATGAGATTGGGGTTCTAAACTCAAAAGCTTTCAGGCCCAGGCAGGTAAAGTACATATGTGAGCAACCTGAGAGCACCAATAGTGAGTAGGGGGTCTGTGAAAATAGAAGATAATGTCAACATACATTAAAGTTGTTTTGCTAACCTACAAAATCAAAACCAAAACAAAACCCCAAAAAACCCACTGTGTTGTCTGACCAGATTTGGTCTCTGAGCACAAGTTTGGAATGTCCTCTAAGGTTTCTTTTTCTTCTCTAACATTCAAGAATGGAGAGAAGAATGTGTTGGAATGGAGAGTGCTGGGAGGGCTGGTCACCACCACCAGAGTACTTCATGTAGGTACCATTGTGTCCTTAAAGTCTGTGCTGTGGGTCCTCACTCAGAGACCTCTGCTTTCTGTCTCGCCCATTGGTCAATTCACAAATCCCCCAAAGAGCTGTTGCTAACTTTCAATCTAGAATAAACTTTTTCTTATGTTAAGTTAGCCACTGTATGTCATTAGTTTTTGATGTAGTGTTCAATGATTCATTAGTTGCATATAACACCCAGTGCTCATCACAACATGTGCCCTCCTTAATACCCATCACCCAGCTACCCCATCCCCCCCCCAAGCCCTCAGTTTTCTCCCCAAGTCCATAGTCTCTCATGGTTTGTCTCCTTCTCCGACATCTCCCCCTTCTGTTTTCCCTCCCTTCTGCTATGGTCCTCTGTGCTATTCCTTATATTCCACATATGAGTGAAACCATATGATAATTGTCTTTCTCTGCTTGACTTATTCCACTTAGCATAATCCCCCCCAGTTCCATCCATGTTGATACAAATGGTGGATATTCATCCTTTCTGATGGCTGAGTAATATCCCATTGTATATATGTACCACATCTTCTTTATCCATTCATCTGTTGAAGGACATCTCGGCTCCTTCCACAATTTGGCTATTGTGGACATTGCTGCTATGAACATTGGGGTGCATGTGCCCCTTCTTTTCACTACATCTGTATCTTTGCGGTAAACACCTAGTAGTGTAATTGCTGGGTCATAGGGTAGATCTATTTTTAACTTCTTGAGGAACATCCATACTGTTTTCCAGAGTGGCTGTACCAGCTTGCATTCCCACCAACAGTGTAAGAGGGTTCCCCTTTCTCCACATCCTCACCAACATTTGTTGTTTCCTGTTTTGTTAACTTTTGCCATTCTAACTGGTGTAAGGTGGTATCTCATTGTG